AATTTTGAATTTTTATAACTAGTTTTACCACAGTTTTGTTGGCACCTATTTTTTTTCAGTTGAACCCCTTTGAGGATCCTATTTTTTTTGTATGTGTGTGATTATTTGTTAGTTGATTATATTTTTAGGAGCTGGAATTTCAAACATGTGGGATGTGTAGACAAATACAAATCCAAGAAAGCCCAAGAGTGACATGGATAATTGGGCCTGAAGAATCGGGTTAACTGATTGTTCTTAAAAATCTACCAGAACCTACTGTTTCAGGAATTTCTGTGTGATAAAAGGCCACAACTATGTGCTGAGAACACTTGCTCATGGAGTTGCGCTTCTTTGAACCCATCACAGTACCAATGAGACTTAGGCTGGTTCATTTTTTTTTTTTCTGGAGCTGTAAGCCCATGACCAGGCTTATTCACACATTCACTGAAACAGGCCAAGCTCAGAACCAAATGATGAAAATGAAAATGAATCAGGGACTCCCAAGGGTCTCACATATGGCAGTTTTGAATCTATTTTTTCTTCACTATCATAATTGTTTTTCCTATTCATTTTCTTTGGTTGAATACATAACTGGAAAAAAATGAGGTAGTGGTGCTGATAGAAATGAATAAGTGCATGGAAACAGTGAAACATCTACAGGGACAAAATTAGGCAGGGAAGAAACAAGAGCAATCTCGGTATCTCTCTGCAAGGCCCCCCACTCGTGCCCTGGCCAGCACCACTGATCAGGCTTGTCCTGCTAGGCAGCAGGTGCCTGCTTGCCTCGGACAGAAAGCAAGCGCTGTAATGGGAAAGCCAGCTGCATCTGGCCCTGAGACGTCATGCATGCCCTGCTTCCCCTTTCTGTCTTCACTGAAGAGGGAGAAATGATCGAGTAGCTAAAAAGAGTCCAAGAGGAGGCTCTGTGCATTTTTCTTCATTCATGGGGATTTAAAGTCAAACTCCATCTTGACATTTTAAAGCAGGGTTATGTCCCCTTGATTGAATTGTGTGTGTGTGTGTGTGTGTGTGTGTGTGTGTGTGTAAAACCTGAATTGCAACAGAAATAACCAACCTGATAGAATATCATGCCCTGGAACATTCTTTTCCTTGTAGAGTACAGCCACTGTAGCACACTGGAGCTGCTGCTTCTTTTCACACTAGTTAACAGATAGCATTAAGCGTGATTCAAGTCAGAGTTTGGCATCACGTCTGGTGCCTTTCATTAAGAACTGAAAACACTCTTAAGACTCTTGCTCCAGGAAGCTCTTCTGACATGTTAATAGTATTGCTTTAGCAATAGCAGAGAAAAAAAATCCATGAACTCAGACTCATAGAAGGTGAATCAAGAATTCATCCAAAATGGAGCGCCTCCTGGGTGATGGGGTGGTTTTCATTTGGGATGTCAGCGTGGCATTCTGTGCTTGACATAAAAGTTCCCCTTAAAAAAAAAAAACCTAAACGACGGCTCATCTTTTTTAAAATCAAGCAGAGTTATCTAAAGTGCTCTTTCTAGAAGACTATCAAGAAAGGAAGAGAGAGCCGTCATTATGACTAGTCAGCTCCAGGAGTTGGGGTAACCATCCTTCGAGGACTCATGTCTCTTGAGCATTGGCCACTGTCCTTTAGACGGGATGGGGAGATGTAATGTATAGCTAGCTGGTGGTTTACTCTGCTCTGGTTTTCTCACTTACAAAGTTTGGTTCTTCCAAAGAGAAATACTTATATAAACATCTCAAAGGAAGACTCCACCTCCTCGCGTTGGACACTTGTGGAAGAGTCAGGAATTTCTAATAAAGATATGCCCTACCTTTGCCATTTATAAAGAACTCATGGGGTTTCACTTGAGCCTCACAGCTTTGGTGGGAAGCAGAGATGACCATTTATTAAGAGGGGTGACCCTGCTCTAGAAGCATATGGATGACATCATCCTGAGTCCCTTATGCCACATTTTCAAGTCCTTCATATTGTGTAATGATGTTAAATGAAGAAGTGTTTTGAACAAGAAGTTGGAGCCTATGTAAATGTTCCTTAGTAGAGGAGTAGTGCAGGCCCTGCTGGAGAGCAATGCAGTCATTAAAAAATCCCCCTTTAGAGTTGCTAGAGATTAGTTCATTGATTTAGAAATATATTTATCAATGAAGAATATTATTCTCAATATATTTAAGGCTACAAACAATAGGAGACACTGGCGTTGGAGAAATGGCTCAGCGATTAAGAGTGCTTGTTGAGCAAGCATGAGAACTGGAAGTCAGAACCCAGCACCCTTGTGAAAGCCAGGTGTGCTCCTAAGCATGTCGGCAACCCCAGCATAGATGTGAGGAGACAGGTAGACCACAGGGACTTGCTGGCTGCCAGTCTAGCAAAAATAGAAAAACAAAAAAACAAACAAAAACAAAAAAGCAAAAAACATGTGGGGTTCAGGAAAAGACTGCCTTAGAGGAACAAGGCAGAGAGTAATGGAGAGAATTCTCAATACCCTCCTCTGGGTTCTATGTATGTATAGGTATATGTACACAAACATATGTATATCCATCCTCTCCTACAAACACACACACACTAAAAGAAACAACAGGGAATGCAATGTGATCCCTTTATAATAAGGAGCTATCACATGGTCAAATAGTATGTATTGATCCCTACTGATCTTAAAGTCAGTAAATGTTGATACTATATTACTCAGCATTTTCAAGCACATTACTTTTGTCATGATAATTAGTGGGGAAAATGCAGATCTGCATCTGGGCCTCATGGGTAAAGGGACTCCCCCATGCATAGACATCAGCCAAGGCCCTGGCAGGGATCTGAATTGTCCAGATGGTGGAAATGAAATGTGTGAATTGAGACAAGGCACATATCCTTGCTCCGTGGCACAGGGCTGTAATATCAACTATTCAGGAGGCTGAAGGAGAAGGATTACAAGTTCAGAAATTTGCTACAGAGTGAGTTCAAGGCCAGCCTGAGCAACTTAATGAGATCTGGTAAGTGATTGATTCCTGAATACAATACACTCAGGCTCTGGGTTCACTCTCGAGGACAGTGAAAAAACACGGGTGTCATGCTATGAGAAGGGACAGGGAGCCAAAAGAGGGGTTAAGGCACCCAGATGCTAGACATAGTCCCCAGACTAAGGGGACAAACCTAGAAAACACAGTTCCAGCACTAGAGGGACTTTTGAGCAACCCAGATGGCTTCCTCAGCAATGAAGGGTCATAGCCATGGTCAAACACCAGTAAAGCAGGAAGAAATACCTTGACCTTTCCCCCTTATCTTCTCATTTCCTGCTGGTGCTTCCTGTCGGCCCGCACTTTTTTGGAAGCCAGCTGGCAAGGCAATGTGGGTGAACAGTCAAAGTCAGGGATGGAGAATGATAGGACTTGGGCCGGATAGGAGGCTGAGCAGCCAACGAGGGGAGCAGAACACTGGGTCATTCCCTGGAGAGAAAGGGGGTGTCTATCCATCAGGAAACTGAAACAAGAAGGAAGCACCTGTCAGAGGGACCTGAGCTGAGTGATGAGGCTTTCCTGCTGCACTCTGAGTCCAGAGCCTGGAGATCACAGCTCTCCTGGTCTTTGGACTGAGCACACAACTTCTTTGTGAAATTTTATAGGAGGCAAAACTGTGTACCTTTGGGCACCAATAACATCATCCCCACTGTTCATGAGGAAGAGGGGGAAAGAGATTCAACCCCACCTCCCTTGCCATTTCCCCGCTGTTTCCTCTGTACCCCAAGTCCTCTGCCCCTTCAGTGTCCCCATTGCAGTAATAATGACCTGGGGTGGTAGCACTGCTCACTTTTAGCTCTGGGCGACTGACTCATTTGCAACCAAATGAAGTAACCCAGTGAAGAAGTTGGCGCTGCCTACTCTCCAACAAAACTAAGGACACAGATAACGGGGACGAGCTGCTTAGACTTGATGCTGTGTCTGCCATACCCAGCTGTGCCACTTTGCTTTCTCATCTGCAAAGTGGGGCCAATAACAATGTCCCCCTCACAGAATCCTGGTGAGGGTTCTGTGGTTTTGATCTGAGCTTGGCGGGTGGCAATCATGAAGAAAGAAAGGTTAGTTATTCTTGTCCCCAGTCCTACATGACACAACAGAGGCCCAGAGACATTAAAATATTTGCACCCATCTCAGAGCTGATAAGCAGCTTTTGGGATTCTAATCAAAGAATGCAGACACTAACATGTTGTTAGCCACTATCTAGTATTGCATGAAGGAATTCCCTCATTCCTATGTTCCTTTGAAGATGAGGGATCGAATCATGGCCTCAAATTGCTTAAGGTATAAAGCCAGTCCCTCACAAAACACCCTTCCCACCGCCCAGGTAATGTGGAAATGTCATCCCTATTGCAAAGCTCACTTCCTTCAGGGCCACCTTCCTGCCATTTCCAGCCAGAAGTGTTCATCCTGGGGACCATACCTGCATATAGGAGCCAATGTATAGGATCTTCTCTGTCTTATGTAGAATGAAACTAATAGAATGAAGACATATGTTATAGGACATTGGGGACACAGGTTAGCTGTGCTTACAAAATGTAAAGAGTCATGGGAGAAGCATGGCTCAGCTCAGTTACCTACTGTGAATGGGAGGAGAGCATGGGGGCAGGCTCTCTCCTTAAGTGTAGGTGGCAGGCACATCACGTTTATTAGCTAATCTGTGTAGCATCAGGAGCAGTCATCTGGGTGGGATAAGGAGAGAAGCCATCAGACCAGGTAGAGACCAGTGAGAGCGAACAGATGGGAACCCAAGAATACTCTAGAGCTTGAGCTGCAACCAATCCCTTGTGCTCTTTATTCCATTTCTTGGAAACTAGCTTACCTACATCTCTGCTTGGCTTCCTTATAGCCAGAGGCTTGATAACTGGAGTGTTTTTGTCAGTCTTGCCTTTCATCTTCGAGTGAAATATGATCGGCTATCGCAAACAACAGAACACGCGGAAAGATATGTCGCCAGTGAGTCAAAGGCCCCAGAGTAATGTCCACAAGCTTGTTGAAAACACAACAATCGAATGCCCATTCAACAAATCTCCTTTTGTTTTACTCCTTTTCATTCTCCCTTTGTTTTCTGACCCAATGTTCAGTGCACATTGAAGCAATAAGAATGCAGCCACCTTCTCTAATTGTGCAGGTGCCTAGCAATCGCTCAAAGGAGGTTGCCCAGTGTTTCTATGAAATCCCGCCAGAAACATCATGCATTGTACAAAGTGTGTGTTTTTAATTTGCGCAGCGTTGGTTGGTGCTTCCACTTCTCACTTTTTTCATCTCCTACAGCTGCTTTTAGTAAAGGACCCAGATTCTTACCTTGTGAGCAACAACAAAAAAAAAAATTTGGCAAGAGTAAAATGTTTCTGACATGCAATGAAAAAGATTAGTGCAAAATTAAGTGCACCATGACCTTGCATTGCACAGCGTGGCTTCACTGCAGCCTTAATTCTGTGTATGCAACACGTGCATTTTGTACTGCACATGATGTCACATACAATGTCATGCCCACCAATGCTATCTGAAGAGAGCTGCTTGTTGGTTTATTTTTCTTTACTTCTTTTAATCTATGACTATCTGTACTCTGTCTCTTTAAAGACTTTACCCTTTTTTAAAGCATTAACTTTATTTTATGACTCTCTATATTCTTTTTCTTCTCTCTTCCAAGCCTACATAGATTTAGTCAACATTATGATTCATCTGGATTTGTCTTTATTGCATATCTGTAATTTTTTAGTGTCCAGGAACACTTTTTAAAATGGTAAGCACTTCTTAAAACTTAAGCTGTGGCATTACTGTGGTATATAAGGTACTTCCTGCTTGCCTGCCCAGTCTAAAACTTAAGCTGCACCATTACTATGGTATGTATGGTACTTTCTGCTTGCCCACCCAGTCCAGCATGGTGGAGCTGCTTGCACCTCTGAGCCACACATACCACCCCACTTCCAGGCCCACATTGCTACCAAGCAAACCACATAATGCTGATACAAACCCCATCCAAATTCTCCATTTCCCGAAAGAGTCAGAGTTCATGATAGCAGCACAGCCCACAGCCAGAAAACTGCAGTCTCGAAACTGCATAGCTGCTACCACGGAATCAGTAAGACCTCTCTTAAAGGAGCCACAGCATGCCACGCCAAGCAAATCCCATTTGGAAAAAAAAGTGACTAAACTTGTTTTTTAATGTCTAGATTTCCTTTTCAACCCTCAGGTTTTACATGGATTTAGTCCACCATGTTGGCGCCAATTTGTTGAAAAAGAGAGCTTGTTGGTTCCCAGCCACCTTGCTAGCTTAGACCCGAAATAATCACACAAAAACTGTATTAATTAAATCACTGTTTGGCACATTAGCTCTAGCTTCTTATTAGTTAACATTTACATATTAATTTAACCCATTTCTATGAATCTGTGTATCACCACATGACAGTGGCTTACGGGCAAAGTTTTGACATATCTGACTCTGGCGGTGGCTCCATGGTGTCTCTCTGACTCTGCCCTTCTTTCTCCCAGCATACAGCTTAGTTTTCCTAGCCTAGCTAAGTTCTGTCCTGCTATAGGCTCAAAGCAGTTCTTTATTCATTAACCAATTAAAGCAACAAAGAGATAGAAGGACCTCCCACACCACAGATTAGAGATGTCCTATGAACTCTGTTTTATCCCTGTATATACAAAGTTTTCTGTTCCTCTAGAAGCATGATTGTTTAATTATAGAACACATAGACTTTTAATATCTTCCTGTTCTCATTTTTTATGTAAAGATAAAATTAATGTATCTTTAGAATGTATTGCACTAGAATGTATTGAATGCTTGATTTCAAGACTAACTGAGTTGTTGACCAGGGTTTCACAGAAAGGTGTTAACTGAATTTTGATTTGGGATTGTGACAGAATTTTCAAAAACTCCTGGAATTGTTCCAAACACAATTCTGCCATTTTGTAGCTAATGTATTTATGCAAAGTGGTGTTCTCAGTGTTGACGATTACAAAGTCGAAATGTTGATCGACTTTTAAAGTCATCAAAGAGACTCTATGTCCTTCAGTTTCAAACGTTCAGCCAAGATTTAATTCTTTTGTAGAAAATAAATGATCAAAACCACCTCATTAGTATGCAAATTTTCTTGTTTCCTACCAGTAAATTTATATGCACAGCAATGAACTGTTATAAAATTTCATTATGCTTTTGTCAGGAATGTTTGGTTTGTGTACCTATCTTATGTACCTGGGTACTTGGAGTCTTGTAAAACTTTCTCAAAGAAAAAGGAGTTTTGAGTAGAGAAGTTTTAAGAAACCCTAATTTAGGCAATGACAACAGTTCATAGACCTTGCCAGATAGTTCATAGATAGATCCTAGAACCTAGCTTCATGAAAGAGGAAGAGATTTGGAAGAGGTTCTAGACTCAGTTTCCTTATCTGTCACATGGGAAGGTTTTCCTAGCTGTAAATAATTTCCAAAACTTGTCTCAACTTAACAGTATATGCTTTTCTTACCAGCTATGTCCCATAGACTAAACTATATACTGAGCTGTGCTCTGGTTCTAAACTGGGAAAACTCTTTGAACAAAATATGGGGACATTGAGAACAGGGTAGCAGAGGCATGCATGTGGATGGGTGCGGAATCTTTTGTAAGCTAGAAGGATGATTTCCTAGAGGAGAAAACAAAAGTGCCTTCCTTGAGCACAAGTGTCTCTAGGGCATAGTGAACTGAGGGTCTCCTTTTTCCAGTGAGAACAAGCACCCTTTCCCATGTGGAGAAGCAGTTGTTGCCAGCATGGTCTGCTTGGTGAGGGAAAAGCTCTCACTACTGTGGAGGGTACTGCCTGTACAGCCCTTCCCAAGACCAGTGTGGTGGGCATGACAGTCATAATTAGAATCCTTCCAAACCTCACACAGTATCTACTGTATATCAGGGCCAGTGTGAGTAGATACTGTCCATTATAACATATGGACTTTTTCAATTCACAGAAGAACACCATGTTTGTTTTTTTTTTTACAATATGTATAGGTGGGACAGTATCTTAGTCACAATTTGCTCAACAGACAAAACCTAAGAAAGGAGTATGCATGCAGGGCTTCATTTTAGGAAATGCAAGCGCTACAGGTGGAAGAGTGAGAGACTCTAAAGGAGAAAAAGATGACCACGGTACTTTATTGAGCTGCTCAGTACAGAATTCAAACAGAACATCACGTTGCTTGGCCAACTGAAGAAACATTTCAGGATTGGCCTCCCCAAGTGGGAGAGTGGAACCTGTCCTGCCATCTGGATCCCAACTCTTGGCGCGAATTGTCCTCAAACATCCTGTGAAAACTTGTTAGGACATTTAAGTTGTGGGCACTGCTGACAGAGGCACTCCGGCAAGAAAGGCAAACACATACCCAAGAGTGTCAGTAGGTTAGAATGAGTCACAGATTCCTCTGGACAGAGGGCACTCAAGGTTAAAAAAAAGTCTACCACTGCTTAGCCATCTTAAGAGCTGTGTGTTCTACAGAGGACTCCATGTTAGTCTCTGCCAAGAAAGCCAGCCACTGAGCACAGCAGATGCCAGGCTGGGCTTGGTGAGATGAGATGGCATTTGTGCCGACAGTGTCACGCTTGTGCCCTTTCTGCCTGCCGCATCTCCTCTCTGCCATGCGCATCCTGAAGCATCTGGGAAGACAGACTCGCTAGGAGGACATTCCGTTCAGTGCTGCACTTGCACCAGGGACCTTGATTTGACGCAAAGACCCATTCTGTGAGGTGTGTCCTGTATCACAGGCCCATCTACCTCTACATGACTAGCTCTGTTTCTTTGAGAGTCTCACCCATGTCACAAATGACAGCAAGTCATTTGCCACCACTCATGGCCCCAGGTATACCCTTAACTCAGGTAAAATCTCCCAAACAAATTGTTTACTAGAAGGAGCGGCCATTACTGCCCTTATGGATATCTCTGAATATCTATAACCTGGCAGTAACCCCACTCCCACCCCACTCATAGCTCCTTTATTTGCATCCTGCCAAAGCCACCTACCTATGAGTTGTGGTCAGTTATCTGCCCTCTTGGTTGGTTACAGGAAACTATAAAGCTTTGGGTATGAACTTAGCTAAGAAATGCAGGAATATGCAAAGATAGGGCTTAGTTGTGCCCATTTGATTTTTCTTGACATTCCCACTGTTGAATGGGTTACTGTGCTGCCCATCCAATATTGTAGCTGTTATTGTAGATCTGATACCATCCATCTCTGGTGGGTAGCTCCAGATGCATGGTTAGTCAGCTTCCCACGGTAAGACAACCCATCTCTGTTAGGGCTCAGGAAGGAGCTGGTGTTCAAATGGCACTAAGTTTTCTTCCAAAGGCAGGCTAACCTCCAGCACCATAGGGTACATGGGAGACTCTCCTTACAGGGTGCTAAAGTGATTCCGTACACATGACTCCTTTGTTTGCAACAGAAGACATTGCATGATCTACTAGCCATATCGATGGGTACAGGTCCTTTGTACTATAGCTCAGATTTGCTGCAGATCACAGATACTCAAAGTTAGCAGACTTTACGGTCATCCAATAAATGGGTCAGCGAATCTTCCCAAAAGAAATACATGTTGTTCTGAATTTCTGAAGATGTTTTGTGGTTTTAATATAGTCCAATAATTTTGACACTCCTTCCATCAAGAGAGTGTCTCATCTCCTAGAATCTGATTGTGCTTTTTATTATATTTTCTGGTGACCCTTCAAGGTCCCAAGTTTGAGTTACTCCCGGGCATTTGAGGTTTACTACTTTAGGCTCTAGTAAGCTTTTCTCAAAGGGGGTTCTTCATTTGAGCTACAGAGGACAGAGAGTGGTCCAAATGACTATTTTCTCAGGCTTCCCAATATGTTACATCACTAAGACTATTTTAGATGCCCAGAAGAGAAACATGTTCATTCTATTAGAAGGGATGCCTTAAGGCATGTGGGCTAAATTGTTTCATGGACACCCAGTTTCGAAAAGCCGAATGCAAACAGAGCAGAGATAGGTTAATCTGATGTTCTATTCTCCTTATGTTCAAACTCGTTCTTTACAGAATCCTTTAGTACAATAAAATGGTAATATTTTGTCATCATGCATTTTGGATGAGGTTTCGATAGAAAACTGGAATAAGATATAAGATCCACATCTTGTTCTTTATCTCAAAGATATTGCACAAGCACGCCCCAAGGTCATGGGACTCCTAAGAGGGTCACTGTGGGGATGAGTGGGGAACGTTTGTGAGACTTTATTCTCACCTTCTGACATTTAAGTTGTCACTTCTGTTTACTGTGTTAAATATGATAATAATGATGTCCCAACAAATTCCATATGCTTCTGGAATAGTAAGACAATTAAGATTTCTGCAGTCTGTTTTGTGATATTGCACGAGAGGCTTCGCATAGCCTTTGGCAAGACTATCAATGAGAACTGATACCCTCGCCACTAAAAGGAGACCTGCTTTTGATCCTGTTTATTGATGAGGGTTGAAAAGAACATAGTCACCAGATCGTTAGCAACACACTGAGCGCCAGAGGCTGTGTTGGTCTAGTTTTAGTAAAGACATCACATCCTGTTCAGCAGCTGAGATTAGAACTACCACTTAGCTAAGTCTATAGCCCACTGCCATACTTCATGATGTGATTAGTTTTTGGAAGGGCTATATGTGATTCTATAGGGCTATGCTGGGACACACCATCCCCATATACTTTGAGTCTAATGTTGACACCAATTCTCTTTCAGAACACAATGTTGTCTCAGCTACGTGATGGGGTCATGATTGGGAAGTTTCAGAGGCTCCAACTTGCCTCTTACTTCTCTAGAGACCCTTGTCCAATAGGCCAGAGAGTCAGCAGGAAGGTTATGCTAGCCACTGTATCCAAATCACATATTTGTTGAATGGGGAAGTGATCTATGGATTGTTGGGTTCATTCTCTCTCTCTCTTTCTCTCTCTCTCTCTTTCTCTCTCCCTCTCTTTCCAGAGTTTCTCTGTATATCCCTGTCCATTTCAGAACTCACTCTGTAGACAACTCAGAGATCCACTTGTCTTTGTTTCTTGATTGTGCTATGATTAAAGGTGTATGCCATCCTCTCCAGGCTAGCTCATATTTTTTTTTTCAATTCTACAAATGAAAATTGTTATGCTGTTTGGCTGTCTCACAGTTGGGAGTACTCCTAGTCTTCTAGCTTCCATGACAGATGCCTAAGCACTAAGGAATCATCCAGCATTTTCCCCCCTGTCCCTTGCCTCCTATATCCTATTGATCCAATGGGTCCTCCATGGCAGCATATCATGTCATCAACCCCAGTTTTCAGGGGATAATCAGCATTTGAATTCTAAAAAGCAGAAAATCTGTGTTCTCTTCTAGTTTATTTCTTACTGCTTTATTCCAAAGAATATCCTGAAAAACTTCCCAGGGAGCACTGTCAGATGGAGGGCTGCCTGATCTCACCAATAAATCTGTTTTGACATTTCGTCTCCCTTTGACCTTTCCTTGATACTTTGCCAAGGTCATTTTAGCAGCACTGTCTTACTCACCGTAGTCCATCATTGTGTCCAGCCTCCCACAAGTCATCCAGCGGTGTGCTAGGACTAGATCCAGATGACGTCACCATGCTAAGTCATGAGTCAGAGAAGAAAGCTGCGCATCGGTTAATTCTCTATCCATCTTTGCAGTCCATCCTTCTGTACGTCTTCTCAGGGTGTGAATACTCAGCATGTGGATTTCTGAACCATTTCACAGGACTTGTAAGCCTTTTGGTGCCCAAGGAGTAGACATTGTGCTTCCTGGATCACACTGTGCTGAGGTCTGACTCTAGGAATCAGAAAGGAAAAGAGAGAAAAGGCATGTTTCATGTAGTACAAGCGCCATCATGTAAAGTGTTTGCCTGGGAACAGAGGATGCAGTGCTACCGTGCAAGGAGTTTTTCTTTAGAATAGGGGTGGGGATGGGGTGGAGGTTTTCTGTTTGACTTTAGAGGACCCCAAGATCTTGAGGATTCATCATTTTCAAGCATGTTTACTTACCCACGTTGGCTCTTTACAGAGTCTCGGGATTCTAGCCTTCCTAGTCAAGAGTTTCGATCTTGGTAAAGACGTGTTGAGGTGGCTTTGCTGTCCTACCGCCCTTCAGAATTAAGTTGTCCCATGGCTGTAGAAGCCATGGTTGCCTTACAACACCATGAAGCAGACTTGACAAGCAGTTGTTCCGTTGACATGAGCCTGCCTCACAAACGTGCTGAGAGACAAGTGGGGGGAGAAGACAGACCACAGGCTGGGAGCAACGGAAGCCCCGGGAAGGCGAAGCCAGGAGGAGGTGGAGCAAGTGACAAAATCATAAATCAGTCCTCTATGAAGTCTGCACATGACATGTATCATAATTTGAATAATCTTATAGTAACCTCCATTAACTGAAGTATTCTTGCATACCAAAAGAAACCCCTCGTCTCATTTGAATATTTTCAATTTTTGCTTAAGATATTACTGAAAGAATTTGCTTTAAGCACTATATTTCAAAGCTTATTTGAAGGAGAGTACTTCCTTCCGGGCTAACAGTGTGTCATCAGTTACTTAAACTCTGGGCAGCGGCTTCTCCGTGTGGCTATCTAGTTCCAGACTTGCTCCAATTTGACTATTCCATGGTCTGATCAGATGCATTTGCATCCTACCTCTTTATACTGTGGGGTTTTTTTTTTCACTCTAATGATTAAAACAAGATTTTAAAATCAGCCGCTTTGGAAGTGTGCTTCCAAGATTGGGTCTTAACTAAAATGGCTCCCACAGGGCAGGGACATGAATACTTCCTGAGACTTCCACCGTGTATCTCTCTACAGTGGCCGTGAGCATCAGCTGTTAAGAAATCTGCTGCCTGAATCTTGGTGGCTGTTATTATGATTCCACATGGTAATAGGCTTAACACAATGAGAAGGAAAAAATAAAGTTATTGAAGGGTCCTACGCTGCAATACAAGCAAGAACTGGGAAGTGAGAATGGAGCTCTACCTATACTGCACAGGAAAAGCCCAGCCAGTAAGGACTGAGCAAGAGAGACTTGCCTTTGATCAGTGAGAAAGACTTGGGGGTGGGGGGTGGGGGAGGTTAGTTGACCATAGATTTGATATAAGCTCAAAGAGTGGCACATTTCCAAAAGATTCAATAAAATTTGTGCTAAATTAATTCTAAAAAGTGCCTGGATCAAAGAAGGTCATTGCATAGCCAGGGACTGCATTGATCTAGCTATACTTAGTGCATGGTAGTCGATTCAGCCATTTCTCGGGGAGCTGTGACAGACCAGATACCCAGGACACAAAACTTCGTGTGATGCGGGGAGAGCATCTAGGCTCAGGGAATAGTCGAGGCAGATGTTCAGAGGAATGAGGGAATTGCATATTTAGGAAAGGACAAGGTTTTGTGAGGTGAGAAGGTAGGATACAAGAGGAGAAGGGAGAAGAAAAGTGATGGGTGAACGTGCTGGAGATTTGGATTTAATCCTGGAAGAAGGGGAACTTTGCTAGACAAGCAAGCAACTCACCTTCTCCGTGTCTAAGCAGGCTTTGTGTTTCCTTCAGCCCTGAAAGGTACACTCGCTGACTGTAGCATCCGAGGCTGGCAGTGGAGGAGGCACCTCACATTGTTGGCCACCTCACAGTGCTCCTGATGAGGTCTACTGTGGGACTGGTCTTTGTTGCTCTGTTGTAAGAGTATGCTCTGTACTCAGATTTTAAATAGTTTTTTTTTATTTATTTATTAAAGATTTCTGTCTCTTCCCCACCGCCGCCTCCCCTTTCCCTCCCCCTTCCCCAATAAAGTCCCCCTCCCTCATCAGCCCAAAGAGCAATCAGGGTTCCCTGCCCTGTGGAAAGTCCAAGGACCACCCACCTCCATCCAGGTCTAGTAAGGTGAGCATCCACGAAACTGCCTAGGCTCCCACGAAACCAATAGGTACAGTAGGATCAAAAACCCATTGCCATTGTTCTTGAGGTCTCAGTAGTCCTCATTGTCCGCTATGTTCAACGAGACCAGTTTTAACCCAGGCTTTTTCAGACCCAGGCCAGCTGGCCTTGGTGAGTTCCCGATAGAACATCCCCATTGTCTCAGTGTATGGGTGTACCCCTCATGGTCCTGAGTTCCTTGCTTGTGCTCTCTCTCCTTCTGCTCCTGATTTGGACCTTGAGATTTCAGTCCGGTGCTCCAATGTGGGTCTCTGTCTCTGTCTCCTTTCATCGCCTGATGAAGGTTAATATTCAGGAGGATGCCTATATGTTTTTCTTTGGGTTTTCCTTCTTATTTAGCTTCTCTAAGATCACGAATTATAGGCTCAATGTCCTTTATTTATGGCTAGAAACCAAATATGAGTGAGTACATCCCATGTTCCTCTTTTTGGGTCTGGCTTACCTCACTCAGGATGGTGTTTTCTATTTCCATCCATTTGCCTGCAAACTTCAAGAAGTCCTTGTTTTTTACTGCTGAGTAGTACTCTAATATGTATATATTCTATACTTTCTTCATCCATTCTTCAATTGAAGGGCATGTAGGTTGTTTCCAGGTTCTGGCTATTACAAACAATGCTGCTATGAACATAGTAGAGCATATACTTTTGTTGTATGATAAGGCCTCTCTTGGGTATATTCCCAAGAGTGGTATTGCTGGGTCCATGGTTTCGTGTTCCTTACGGCTCCCATGCTTGTCCCTCTGCCCCCCCCATCTACTGACCTTATGAACAGCAATGTGAACTTAACTTGGAACTGTTCCATAGTCACTGTATCTTCTTTTATTTTTCTCTCAGTCTTCAAGATGAGGGTCTTCCTGCCATTCCTTAAGGTTACTTTTACTGCATCTACAGTGTGCTACCCACCAGATCGTTCCATCCAATTATCTGTGATTAAAAAGTTTTCTACAAGTATACATTGTACATGGAAATATTATTTACATGAAAAAATTGGGTATTATTACAAGAAGTTCAGTTTGGGGCTTTGCAATTGCTCTTACATTTGTATTCACTAAATGACCACAGGCAATACTGACAGAAATTGTTGCAGCACCCTTAATATCTACGTGAATTCTGGCTTGGTTTTGGCTGAATGATACTTCTTCTCATGATTGGTTCTATTTTTTTTCTTTTTGCCTCTGCTAATATTTTCTGAATTTTCCTTCGTTGAGTACCGGCTACTTTTATGTTTCTATAGATATTTCTTAGTTTTGTTCTGGGGTTCAGTTAAATAGCTTAGAAACAGTTTACTCCTTCTGGGCCTTGTTTTTAAGATTCTTTTCATGGTGCCCAGAGTGTTTAGTCTAGGGTGAATAACGTTTCCTTACTGATAGAAGGGCATACTGAAACCTCTACCCAGTGACCTAAACATTATGAGATTTTTCAGTCTGGTGGAAGTGGCCTCTATTTGTGGTGCTATTTCCTCTAGTTTTGGGGTGTGTCACCGTCCACACTGGACAGTTTTCTACATGCATTAGCTGGTACTTCGTTGCATATTTGGGGTTTTGAGGTAGGGGCTCTACTGTTTTTGCGGCCTTTGGGAGGGGGGCATCTCTGCTCTTCAGTATGCTGTCCTGCGAACTCTAAGTGTTCTGGTCTCCAGAATTCTCTTCTGTGTCTCCTCACACAGTGCACAGAACTCCCGCACCTCGAGTGTCCAAATGGAAGCTACGAAGGCTCTAAAGGCAGCGAGATGCTGAGGGTCTCTGTTTTAGAGGACACTGTTTACCGACTCAGGCACATTGGAGCTTTTGTTAATTTATCTGATATCCTCTGCCTTGAACCTCGGCGTTAAAAACCACTGCTCTGTGTTTTGCTCCTTATTTTGTCAGTTCCAGGAAGGGAAGGTTAATTCTGGGCCCTGTGACTCCATATTAGCAGTGGAAGAAGTCTTACCTTAAAAACAAAACAAAACAACAAAACAAAATCCACGACTGCGTTTGACTCTTCACCTATGGAGCATGTCTTAGGAATACTCTTTGAGCAGTCTAGAGTCAAGTAGGCACTCTGAATTTATCTGTGGAGCCCCAGGTGACTTACTGACGATCTTGCTATGCCAAGCTTGGTGAATGGCAGGTAAATTGAATTGCAGTAGGACAAGTGGGTGAAATTTTCACGAAAGGATATTTCTTTTTGCCTTACGCAAGAATACAACATCGAAGAGCCAAGAAGGCAATGTTGGGGAAATAACCCAGCTGTCTTAGTATTATGGGATGTGTGTGAGCAGGAAGAGATGACTCCTTGTGAAGAGGAGTCAGTATCACTGTGCGGTCTGGAGAAAGCCTCAGTCCGGGGGTGGTTTTCTCTTAACACCCCTTAATATTACTTTCTGCCAAATCTGAGCTATTATAAAGAAAAATAATTACTAAGGACTTGAGAGTATTAATTATGAATGATTCTGTCTCCAAGCTAATTATGAAAAGGATATTCCTTCGAAATTCTTTCTACAGCTGTATTCCTTATCACCCACAAAACCCTGGTTAACAAAGAAGTCTGAATGCTGCTAACCCCTACTGGCAGATTGAGACATAGACACCCACAGGGTCAGGAGACTTACTCTAAAGCCTCCTATGACTGCAGACCCAAGCCCAAAGTTCATTTCCTCAGGGAAAGGCAACATCCTTTCCATTGGCTCTAATGCCTTGGGCTCCCATAGCAGGTTTCATAAGTCCAGCCATTGGGTTTCTAATGTATATTCTAGAAAGGAGGCAGGAACAAACATGGCCTGTGCTTCTACAGGAGGATGGCAGCAATTGAGTCCATCTGCAGGACACTCTAAGCAATAAGAAAATGGTGTTGGGATCCTCCAGGCCCCGATGAACAAGACAGTCTAGGCAAGGCTTGAAGCAAACCGAAGAAGCAGGAGTTCAACCAGCCAGACAGATTTCAAAGTAGTACACATTAGCCACATATGAGTCCAAAGGGTGGGGTTTCTGAATAAGCGAATTTTAGATCATCGAGACTTTCCAGAATAAACAAGCACAGGGTCACAGGGACCAGGAGCAACTGATGGAGAGTTTTAAGTAGAAGGAAGTCTGGTATCTGCTCCTACACTCTATGGCTTCAGATGACTGAATTTCTCATCCTCAGCCAGGCAAGATGCTAATCACACAGAAAATGCTCGATGATTAAATAAGCTGCCTAGCCTGTATCATCAGATGACAAAATACAGTGTGGCCTTTGAATGAGAAGGAAGGCTGTGTAGCCTAGATTGGAGCGTTCTTTTTAGGGGTTAAAGGAAAGAGGGCTGAGGGAGGACATGGCCAAAAGATTTCATTTAGGGTTATAGGAATTGTCCACTAGATTCACAAAGAACAATGGACCTCAGAAGGAAATTTCAGTATTAAAACAAGTTTTGCCTATTGAGCAGTAATACACAGTACTTGTGAAAATCAGCCAACCACCACTACCACCACCTCTTCCTCACCTGCTGAGGTCTGGACATGCACTGGTTTCTCAAAGTGTCCTGTTTCAAAAGGCAGGTCACTAGCCTCTGTTGTCCCTGGGACATGAAAGAGGTTGGTCATTGGACACCTGCACAAGAAGGAGATATCTGGGCCCTGGCCTCTTCTCTGTCTCTTTGCTGACACAAGCGGAGCATTTTTGATCCACCCTAGGCATCCCCTACTATAACGCTTTGCCTCCGCTCAGTCCAAAAGCAATGGGATCAACTGAGCAGGCTGAAAGTATGAGAACCTGAGTCAAAAGAAACCCTTTGTCTAAATTATACCTGTTCAGGATCTTTGTCATGGTGGCACAAAGCTTACTAGTGTATTCCACCGCTTTATTTCCTATGTTCAAGACCCCAGCTCTCCACCACCCAGCTGGGAACCCCAGGGCTTGAGAACCAATGGAGTGAAGGGAAAGTTCTGTGGACTGGGTGGGAAAAGAGATGACAGGGTCAAGAAGAGATAGAGAAGGAGAAGAAAGTAAGGTTGTCTTGGACAAAGTAGAAAGGGGAAGTCTGAATATACGCCAAGGGTCTGTTTCTGACATCTCTTTATGACCTCTGTAATATGGTATTTCTCCCATGAGCTGAAGGCAGTGGGAA